AAACATTTTTAAAATAGGCTTTAACCAATTACATTTTGTACCTGGGCATTAAATTGTGGCTAGGAAGGGACCCCAGTAAACCAGGTTCTTCTTTGACTGTCGTCTGCATATTGCCACTCTTGGGATATGCGCCGACTGGTGCCGTTGAATGGTACAAACTTATACTAGCAATGCCTATTCTGAGCATTCGTGTGCCCCCTCCATACACCTCCCATCAGTGTTTGAGCATATTCTGAGAATAGGGCTATAAAAGGGGGCACAGAAGCAGTTACTGCCTCAGTTCCTTCCAAGCACTACCACAGGTGCATGTGAGCCTTCTTTAGCATACAAAATTGAAGAGTGCCCAGTCAACAAAAACCTCAGACCTGCTTCCAGAAAAGGAACATGGTAACAGAAATGGCCTTAGACAATATGCGTTCCATGCCTGAGGCCTCTTTGGAACCAGGACCTTCAGTTCTGAAGAAGAAGCAAGACCAAGCACCTTTCTGGGTCTTGCATTGTCTTCTGTTCAGGGAACTCGTCAGATCCTTCAGATTGCAAACATGCGGATGTGAGACAGATCGGAGACCAACATGACTCTGTTGGGTCAGGACCTATAAATGGATAGATCTCTCTCTTGTATCAGCACTGATACCTTCAGTGATGGTTTCCACTTAGGTACCCATGGAACTGCATTTATCAGATCAGTTTCACGCTTCCTCAGCAGGAGAGAGAGATTTGGATAAGGATCCAACACAATGCTTTCCCTCTCACAAAAACCAGAGTGGATTCCTCAACATATGGATCTTCTGCGATGCTACTACTTCCTCCCTGAATACCTAGAAAGACTCTCTCATCCTTGTTGCTACCATGGATCCCTACCTCTCTCATATCTTGTTCCTTGTCAGTTCTCGGTTTCAATCCACATTTAGAAAAGGAGATGGATACATCAGTCTACCTGCAGCCTCGACCTCAAGGCTGTTTTTGTGACAAAGATTATTGGAAGTTGATGTTTCCTCATTACTATGAGATGCTACAGAACTGGACAAATTGGCATGAGTAGCAAGTATCTTCCTGGATGCATTGGCCACACTAGCCAATTCCAGGGCTTCCATTTCAACCTCATTCAGCTGCGATGACCTTGATTCCACATTGAGGCAAGGAAACTTCAGCACATACTAATGTGTTGGATCCAAGGCATTCAGATCCTACACCAGTGGATCCGAGACCAAGAGATAGGTCCCCTACAAAAATTCAGGATATTCTCTGTGATGAGGAAGAAGTTGATGTGTTTTCACAAGCTGGTATTGTGCATCAGGACTTAGAACCCACAGGCAAATCCTCCCCTGAGGAAAACGTTGGAGTAGCCTCATCTCCCTCACCATCTGAACTACAGGAGTCAGTTAGCAGAACGGTGTCTAAGTTAAAATTACCTTCAGTTTACTCCAGGAAACTCCTTATTCTGTTTTTTGATACTGGGGAATACATCTACTGAGAAAGTATCTCTGCCTCTTTGGGAAGGTCTCTGCCAGGCAGCAAAATCAGCATGGAATGCTCTTCTCTTCATATCAACTGATTGCTAAGAAAGCTGATTGGTTGTATGAGATCCCATATGAAGAGTTTTCTTTTTTTCCATGTTCATTTTCCCTTTAACTCTCTTGTGGTAGCTGCAACAATGCAACATTCAAGAATGGGACATTTACATTCTACTCCATTGGCAGAAAAGGGAAATAATTAGATTGCTTGGAAGAAAGGTATTTTTTTCAGTCTCTCTGAACATGAGAATAGCTAACTACCTAGCTGTCCTGCACAGATAACAGTTTCACTTCTAGGACAAGATCTCTCTTTTTTACAAAGAATCTTCCTGAGGAACACTGCAGACTGTCTAATGCTCTTATTAAAGAGGGTCTAAATGTTGCTATGCATGCATTGAGAGTGTCTTTTGATGCTTTGGATACATCATCAAGATCAGGACGATATTAGTTGCAGCAGTAACTATTCACAGACATGCATGGCTACACACCTCTTCTCTGCCCTAAGAAATGAGGTTGAAGATTGAAGATCTTCCTTTTGAGAGGGATGATCCATTTGGCTCAAAAATGGATGAATTGTTAGAGAAAATGAAAGAGACTAGACAGCTGCCAGGTCCCTGAGTCTCTTACAGCTTTATAAGAGAAGAATTCCTACACCTGCCTTCAGATATCAAAGAGAATATTATGCTCATTATTCTTCATATTCCAACAGAGGTAGACAATACTACCAGTAGCAATAATAACAGCAGTCATCATCATCCTAACACCAGTATAGAAGGCATCCAGTTAAGTCTAAGCTGAGACAAAAGAATTCATCCTCCACTACTTCTGACAGATAGACCTTCAGTTTGACATGGGGTTAGAGAGCAGCAAACCAACTTTGGATTCCATCCCCCTATTCTTTGGAGACTGTTTATGCCAGTGTTTGAAATCAACTTTTTACTCGGGGAAAGACTGATAGAAGAGGTTCTAGTAAATTTCAGAAATCGGGGTTTCTACTCCCACTGTTTCCTAATCCAAAGATTACAAGGTCTTTGCCCAGTCTTGGCTCTGAGGAAGCTAAGCACATATATTTGAAAGTTTCACTTTAGAATGTTAACTCTGGGTTCCATTATTGTGTCCCTTTCTTTGGTTTGCTGCTTTTGACATAAAAGATGCTTGATTTCATATTTCGATAAGACCATCGCACAGGAAGTACCTGCGTTTCATCATAGACCAGAACCATTTCCAGTACAAGGTCTTTCCTTTAGCAGTTTCCACTGCACCCAGAGTCTTTACAAAATGCCTGTGAATAGTGGCAGCTTTTCTGAGAAGAAAAGGGTGTGACACTACACCACATATTCGTCATAGTGAAATTATTATGATACGATTATGGCATGATTAAGATACATTTTGTACAAGATGGGTCATGTCAGATATCATTGAAAAAGTTATGATTTGCTGAATATGATTTTCTTATTTGTATGCATGTATCATTTTTGTATCTGAAGTTATGAATATTGACTATGGACCTGTATTTCAAATGTGCTTACTCTGGAAAACTCCTAGAGCTAGCCTTTCAGGTACAACAATGATGAAGCTAGACTGTGCTAATGACTCATCAACAAAGACAATAGGCTGTGAAAAAGCTTAGCCTTTCTGTAAATATTTCAGCCAGCCTGTAAGGAATGGCTGCTATGACTCAGCAAGGGCACATGACCAGGTCACATGATACTGAACTCTATTTTGGTTACCTGTATTTTTCGACACACTGGACTTGGAACTGTTTTTGGAACAAAGGATTCCCGCCATATGTAAAAGCTATATAAATTGGGGTGTGACATCATCTAGGGACCTCACTCCTCTAGGGTGATCAGATGTCCCGATTTTATAGGGACAGTCGCGATTTTGGGGTCTTTTTCTTATATAGGTTCCTATTATCCCCTGCCCCCATCCCAATTTTTCACACTTGCTGTTTAGTCACCCTACACTCCTCACACAAGAGAACTCCTGGAAACACCTGAGGAACAAAGACTGAACTAGGGGAAGTGTGGGTCCCAAGCTAAAAGGATTTCTAGCCTTTGTATGGAAACCTGGTGGACTGCTTGTATCATCAGCCAGGGTGAGAAATTGCTAATTCATATCCAATCTTTCTAGTAGTTTAGGCTTAGTTTGTGGTTTTGTTTATTTGCTAGGTAATCTGCTTTAATCTGTTTGCTATCACTTATAATTACTTAAAATCTATCTATCTTTTTGTAGCTAATAAACTGATGTTTTGTATCTAAACCAGTGTACCTTTGAGTGAAGTGTCTGGGGAAAAACCTCAGCCTGGTTAACACAGGCTTGTTGCATATCTTTCCCACGTTGAGGGGAGAGCGAACTATTTATGATCTTACATTGTACAGATCCCTGTGCAGTGCAAGATGGTATTATTTTGCGTTTATGCTCCAGCAGGGGGCGTGTGCCTGGGAAGCTGGGAGATTGTCTGATGTTGCACTCAGGTAGCTCAGTTTAGGTGAGTGGTGCCACCTGCTGTTGTGTTGGATGATAACAGGGCCTGGTGAGGTTGGCTGTGTCTCGAACCAAGCAGTGTGAAAATAGAGCCAACCCAGCTGTGTGTCTTAGAGGCGCACAGCGGTTCCCATGGTTCACGGACTGCACCCCGGGGGTGACATCCCGTCACAAAGGGATTTTCATGTTTCTGTGTCTTTGATTGTCTCCTAAAAGCAGCTTCCAGTGAAAAGAAATCACTGCCAATGCCTTCACAGTTCCTGAAGATGTCCTATACCATTCAGTTTCTCTTTCAGAATCCATTTCAGAAAGTGAAGTTCTTCCTCTTCTTACTAGGTCTCATGGCATCAATGACATGTCACACCCTGTGTGAGACTAAAGATGAGACCTCTTCAACATTGGGTGACAGGAAACTTTAAATCTGGAGTTCACAACTTGAAGCTAATAATTACTATTCTAAACAAAATCCAGAAAACTCTTATGGTGTATGGATCAGGATCATGTAACGAAGGGAGTGAGGTTCAGCTCTCCATCACCTTCCATGATAATTACAACAGATGCCTCGAAAACAGGCTGGGGTGCACTGGGCTCTGGAACCAACACAAGTCTTCCCTTTATATCAGTGTGCTGGAGCTAAGAGCATTCAGATTTTTCCACCCTCAGATGAAAGGATACATTGTTCAGGTAGCCACAGACAATATGACAGCAATGTATTATATAAACAAACAGGGAGGAGCCCGCACTTCACAGTTTTGCAAGGAGTCAATAAAGCTTTGGGAGTGGTATATTCTTCATGAGGTGTATATGGTAGCTCTGCATGTAGCAGAATCCTTCAACCAGTTAGCAGACCAACTGAGCAGAAAATCCTCCCACATGCACAAATGGACCTTAAAGGATACTGTAACTAGGGCCTGGTCCACACTAACCCCCCATTTCGAACTAAGGTACGCAAATTCAGCTACGTTAATAACGTAGCTGAATTTGAAGTACCTTAGTTCGAACTTACCGCGGGTCCAGACGTGGCAGGCAGGCTCCCCCGTCGATGCTGCGTACTCCTCTCACCGAGCTGGAGTACCGGCGTCAACAGCGAGCACTTCCGGGATCGATCCAGGATCGATTTATCGCGTCTAGACAAGACGCGATGGATCGATCCAAGAAGATTGATTGCTTACCGCCGGACCCGGAGGTAAGTGTAGACCTACCCCAGGGACATTTTTGCTCTGTGGGTTACTCCAAATATAGATCTGTTTGCCACAAAGTTCAACACTAAATGCTGTTTGTTTTGTTTGAGGGCAGGAGCAGACCCACATTCTCTAACTCAGGGATCGGCAGCCTTTGGCACGGGGACCCTCGGAAATCCACTGGCGGGCTGGGACGGTTTGTTTACCTGCAGCATCCGAAGGTTCGGCTGATCGCAGCTCCCACTGGCCACGGTTTGCCATTCCAGGCCAATGGGGGCTGCGGGAAGTGGCGCGGGCTGAGGGATGTGCTGGCTGCCACTTCCC